TTGAGACGGAGTTTCGCTCTTGTTACCCAGGCTGGAGTGCAATGGCGTGATCTCGGCTCACCGCAACCTCCGCCTCCCGGGTTCAGGCAATTCTCCTGCCTCAGCCTCCTGAGTAACTGGGATTACAGGCACGCGCCACCATGCCCAGCTAATTTTTTGTAGTTTTAGTAGAGACGGGGTTTCACCGTGTTGACCAGGATGGTCTCGATCTCTTGACCGGGTGATCCACCCGCCTCGGCCTCCCAAAGTGCTGGGATTACAGGCGTGAGCCACCGCGCCCGGCCAGAACTAAATTTTTTTGTTTTTTGAGACGGAGTTTCACTCTTACTACCCAGGCTGGAGTGCAATGGCGCAATCTCATCTCACCACAACCTCCACCTCCCGGGCTCTAGCGATTCTCCTGCCTCAGCCTCTGGAGCAGCTGGGATTACAGGCATGCGCCAGCACACCCAGCTGATTTTGTTTTTGTTTTTGTTTTGTTTGAAAAGGAGTCTTGTTCTGTCACCAGGCTAGAGTGCGGTGGTGCGATCTTGGCTCACTGCAACCTTCACCTCCCAGGTTCAAGCGATTTCCCTGCCTCAGCCTCCCAAGTAGCTGGGACTACAGGTGTGCACCACCACACCCAGATAACTTTTGTATTTTTAGTAGAGATAGGGTTTCACCATGTTGGTCAGGCTGGTCTCAATCTCCTGACCTCGTGATCCGCCTGCCTTGGCCTCCCAAAGTGCTGGGATTACAGGCATAAGCCACCATGCCGGCCTAATTTTGTATTTTTAATAGAGACAGGATTTTGCCATGGTGGCCCCGCTAGTCTTGAGCTCCCGACCTCAGGTGATGCGCCTGGCCAGAACTAAATTTCTGGAGAGTATAATATTAGTTCAGTGTATTCTGGGGACAGGAAGGGGATGTTGGCTGTACCCCCAAGAGGAGAGCATAAAGCAGTTTGCAGAAGTGGGGTTTGAAGCCATTTGGTTAACAACATGAGCCCCGGAAAGGGCAGCTACCCAGATACAAGTGGTGGAGCTCCAGACAAGTACGTCCCTTCCTTAGAGCTTAGCCACCACTTGAGGGCACTGGAAGCCCAGAATGGGGAGCAGCCCCCTCAGTCCCCACCATCCTGTGTGGTTCCCACATACACCTCAAGATCCAAAGACCTTGCTAGAGGATGGAGGGCCCCAAGAGCTCACATGGTCTTTTTATTTGGCCCCTGATTAAATATGAGGTCTGAAGTTCGATTCTCTAAAACTCCATCATCTTGGGCTATTTTCAAAGCATGTCTCTTTTTTTTTTTTTTGGAGATGGAGTCTTGCTCTGTCGCCGAGGATGGGCTGCAGTGGCAGGATCTCAGCTCACTGCAACCTTCGCCTCCTGGGTTCAAGCGATTCTCATGCCTCAGCCTCCTGAGTAGCTGGGTTTACAGATGTCTGCCACTACGCCCAGCTAATTTTTTGGTAATTTTTAGTAGAGATGGGGTTTCACCATCTTGGGTAGGCTGGTCTTGAACTCCTGACCTCATGATCCACCCGCACTGGCCTCCCAAACTGGTAGGAAAACCAGCCAACATGTCCCATATGTAATGGGCAAATTGGAAGAGCTGAAGTTGGGCACGTGGAGCCTAGAGCTGTTCAGGTGGCATACTTTTCTGGGATAGGCCACAGATTGTGTGTAGCCCCAATTCCTGTAACCTCCCCTACCCCTAACATACATACCCCTAAATGGAAATGAACTGGGAAACTATGGTTGTGTTGGCCCCAAAAGATTGTTTTGTTTTGTCTTTTGAGACAGGATCTTGTTCTCTTGCCCAGGCTGGAATGCAGTGGCACGATCATGGCTCACTCAGCTTCATGCTCCTAGGCTCAAATGATCCTCCTTCCTCAGCCTCCTGAGTAGCTGGGACTACAGGTGTGTATCACCACACCTGGATAATTTGTTTTTTCTTTGTTTTTTGAGACAGGGTCTCACTCTGTCGCCCAGGTTGGAGTGCAGTGGTGCTATCCTGACTCACTCACTGCGACCTCCACCTCCCAGGCTCAAGCAGTTCTCCTGCCTCGCCCCCCGAGGGGTTGGGATGGGACCACAGGCATGTGCCACCATGCTTGGGTAATTTTTATATTTTTTATAGAGACAAGGTTTCGCCACGTTGGCCAGGCTGGTTTTGAATTCCTGAGTTCCAGCAATCTACCCACCCCACCTCCCAAAGCCTGAGGTTACAGGCATGGGTCACTGCACCTGGCCTCATGGCAAATTTTTTAAGTTTTTGTAGAAATGGAGTCTTGCCATGTTGCCCAGGCTGGTCTCTAACTCTTGGCCTCAAGTGATCCACTCGCCTCCACTGCCCAAATTAGTGGGATTACAAGTGTCAGTCATTGTATCTGGCCAGACGTTTAATAAAGTTGATGAAGGTACAAGTTGAGGTCTTGTGGTTTCCCTTGGTTAGGCTAAGTAGAGAAGAGCTCAAAGTGGTTCATCAGAGTCCCATCCTAATGCTTTCTTCTCTCTCCATTTGAAGTTAAATGAGCTGGTGGTGGGAGACACCAGCGGGAAGGTGTCTGTGTATAAAAATGATGACAGTCGGCCATGGCTCACCTGTTCCTGCCAGGGAATGGTCAGTATTCACTTCCCTGGGCCTGGAGGGGGGAAGGGATCCCTTCTGTCCAGGGAACACCCACACAGGTGCTCACCCATGTGTCCTGACTCCCCAGCTACTGGGCCTAGCCACTGCCTTGCAGCCAATTTGATTCAGAGAGGGCAGCCCCCAGACGTGCTCCCATCTGTTCTCACACACATATACCTGGGCCGGGGTGTTTTTGTGTAGCAGAGTACTCCTTGACACTTTATAGAAGCTGCCTAAGATTGTCTAATCTTAAAGTATAGTCAAAAATGGGGGCAATAATTTGAATAAGTCTAGAAATAGGATAGCCTAGTTCTATTAAAGATGGAGTTTTTGTTTTAAGTCCAGATTATCTTAACTACCTCAGGTCTTCATGTTGCTATCTGGGTAAACCAAACCTATAGCACAGGAACTCAGTTAATAAAGACTATCGCCATAAGTTATACGGCACAAGTTTTCAGTGGAGGATGGTGATGAGAAAACCCGCCCACTCCTTCTTGCTTCACAGAGATCAGGGAGTACTGGTCTCCCTTGGCATCTCCCTGAGCCTGCCTTTCTCTCTTGCAGCTGACTTGCGTCGGGGTTGGAGACATTTGCAATAAAGGAAAGGTAAGAACTATAGGGGACCTTGGGACTTCGGCAGGACTCCAAAGGCTCACCATGATTCTTAGCTCACAGTGGAAATTAGTTGAAGGTTAAAGGCTTCAGCTCTGACCCCTGTGATCTGATTATTAGGCATGTTTCCAAAACTCCCTCCCCAGTCTGTTTCTACTATACCTCTGTTTGTCCTAGAACCTGTTGGTGGCAGTGAGTGCTGAAGGCTGGTTTCATTTGTTTGACCTGACACCTGCTAAGGTGTTGGATGCTTCTGGGCACCACGAGACACCAATGGGAGAGGAGCAGCGTCCAGTCTTCAAGCAGCACGTCCCTGCCAACACCAAGGTCATGCTGATCAGCGACATCGGTGGGCATGGCTACCTCTGCAGGCTGCCAAGAGTAGGAGTCAGTGGATACTAGAGCAGATCCCAAGGGATTGGGGCGAGAGGGAGAGTCCACATTCATTTATGCATTTGTTATGTACTGAGCTCCCATCATAAGCCAGGCGTCACTCAAGGTACTGGGATTGCCATGGTGAATAACTAGACAAAAATTGCTGCACTCCTGAACCTTGTTATGAAGAGACAGAAAAGAAACAATATAGGCCAGGTGTGCTGGCTCTTGCCTGTAATACCAACACTTTGGGAACCTGAGGTGGGAGGATCACTTGAGGCCAGGAGTTCGAGACTGTGGTGAGCTGTGATCTCACCACTGCACTCTAGTGTGGGACCCTGTCTCTATTGGAAAAAGGAAGGAATAGAAAAGAAACACTATAAGTTTTGTAAAGTAATTAAGTATTATATTGGAAGGTGATATGTGTGTGGCTAGATGCGGTGGCTCACGCCTGTAATCCCAGCACTTTGGAAGGTTGAGTCGGGTAGATCACTTGAGTTCAGGAGTTTGAGACCAGCCTGGCCAACACGGTGAAACCCTGTCTCTATTAAAAACATAAAAACTAGCCAGGAATGGTGGCAGACGCCTGTTATCCCAACTACTCAGGAGGCTGAGGTAGGAGAATGAACCTGGGAGACAGGTTGTAGTCAGCCAGGATCACGCCACTGCACTCTAGCCTAGGCAACAGAGACCCCTTCTAAAAAAAAAAAAAAAAAAAAAAAAGGTAATAAGTGCAGCCAGGCGCCATGGTTCACGCCTGTAATCCCGGCTTTGGTAGGCTGAGGCAGGCAGATCACTTGAGGTCAAGAGTTCAAGACCAGCCTGGCCAACATGGTGAAACCCTGTCTCCACTAAAAATACAAAAATTAGCTGAGCATGGTGGCACATGCCTGTAATCCCACCTACTCAAAAGCTTGAGAGGCAGGAGAATCGCTTGAACCCAGGAGGTAGAGGGTGCAGTGAGCTGTGATCGTGCCACTGCACTCCAGCCTGGTGACAGAGACTCCATCTCAAAAAAAAAAAAAAAAAAAAGGTAGTAAGTGCAATGGAGAAAATAATTCACAGAAAGGGCTAGAGTGTTGAAGTAGAAGTAGCAATTTTATTTGTTTTATTTTTTTGAGACAGAGTCTCACCCTGTCGCCTAGGCTGGAATGCAGTGGTGTGATCTCGGCTGACAACTACCTCTGCCTCCTGGGTTCGAGCGATTCTCCTGCTTCAGTCTCCCCAGTAGCTGGGACTACAGGCACACGCCATCATGCCCAGCTAATTTTTTGTATCTTTAGTAGAGGCAGGGTTTCACCATGTTGGCCAGGCTAGTCTTGAACTCCTGACCTCGTGATCCACCTGCCTCAGCCTCCCAAAGTGCTGGAATTATAGGTGTGAGCCATTGCACCTGGCCAAGCTAGCAATTTTAAGTGGAGTTGGTAGGGAAGTCCTCACTGAGAAGGTAACATTTGGTTTAAAAAAAAAAAAAAAAACGAAGGCGGTAAGCAAGGGAGCCACACAGATGGGGGCTTGCAGGTGGTGGGAGATACATGGGCTGAATTGGGACACTTGAGTTGCATGTTTGGGAAGTAGTATAAAGACAGAGAGGGGATAGGAGCTGCAGAACAGATGGACCAAATGGACGCACAGGATGCTGCAAACGCAGTCAGGGGTGGGGCAGACTGAGTGTGAAGTGAGTAGCCCAGCAGATGGGGCATGAATCCACATGGCTAGGAAGTGCCACTGGTAGCAGAGGAGCAGAGGCTTCTCGTGAGACTGCAAAACCCAGCTTGTCTTTCATGCCCACAGATGGAGATGGGTGTTGTGAGCTGGTGGTGGGTTACACAGACCGTGTGGTGCGAGCTTTCCGCTGGGAGGAGCTAGGTGAGGGTCCCGAACATCTGACAGGGCAGCTGGTGTCCCTCAAGAAATGGATGCTAGAGGGTCAGGTAAGAAACTGAGTCTGGGGACCAAGGCCCCAGGGAGCTGGGAGGAAGGCCTCCTGGAGGAGAAAGTGGGAGAACAGTCATGGGACAGGGCCAGGGTGGGGAGAAGTGAAAAGTTACCTTGTCAAGAGAGATCCAAAGACCATTTCAAATCAGGGGCTTAGGGAGATTGCTAGTGACAGGCAAAGAGAAAGGCATGTGGGGCTAAGAATGAGGAGTGTGGAATGGGTGTGGAGTGGGCCACATCAGGACCTAGACCACAGCTGGGACATGAACAGGGGAAAGCACGTGGTCTGTGCGGAGAGGGCGGTGCCAGGCAGGAACCCTGGAAACTCAAAATCCTTCCTCCTGCTGCCAGGCTTAAAGCCCTCAGGGCTGTTCCCAGGACCCCTGCCCTCCCCTACCCCCCACCGCCCCGTTCTCTGCAGGGTCCCACTTCTCTCTCCATCTCCCTTTAATCCCATTTCCTGGTGCAGGTGGACAGCCTCTCAGTGACTCTGGGGCCACTGGGTGTTCCTGAACTGATGGTGTCTCAGCCAGGCTGTGCTTATGCAATTCTGCTGTGTACCTGGAAAAAGGACACTGGGTCCCCTCCTGCCTCTGAAGGGGCCACAGATGGCAGTAGGTAAGAGGGTACAAGCCTGTGGATGGTGTGGGGTACATGGAAGCAGGATGGGCTCCCAGATGGCACATAGTAGTAAAATGGGTCTGCAGTTAGCAGAGCTGCCTCATCTGGGTCCCAGCCCAAGCACCTTTGCACCACTGGGGAGGATTATTTTAGGACCAAGGGAATCCTGAGCTCTAACTTGTGGCACCTGAAAGAGGTCCTGAGATTCCAACCTGGCATCCCCATCCCTGTCTTTTCTGTTTGCCACATGGGCCAGATGGGGTCAGTGGTAGGTTTCGAAGCTGACTCAAATCCCAGAAGCTCTTGCAGTGATAAGGGCTGGAGAGCGCAGCTCACTTGGTCTCCTGCTTGGTCCTTCCACCCTCCTGCTCACAGGGAGGCCCCAGCTGCCCGAGATGTGGTGCTGCACCAGACATCTGGCCGTATCCACAACAAGAACGTCTCCACTCACCTAATCGGCAATATCAAACAAGGTGAAGATGGGGGGCTATGGTTGAGAGAGGAGCTGGGGGCAGCCCTCAGTTCTGGATGAGTGGAGATCCCTAGCCCTCCCCTCATGTCAAGCCCTGTCCTTCCCCTGTTGCTGTGCGCCACCCCCTCCCTGTAGGCTCTGACCTTGTGCCCTGCCCTTTACATTTTCTTCCTCTGGTCCTTCTGTCCTACCCACAGGCCACAGCACTGAGAATGCTGGCTCTGGCCTCTTTGCCCTGTGCACTCTGGATGGTGAGCAGTGCTGGGATGGGGTGGGGGTCTGTGTGCCTTTGGGGTCTGCTTGGGGCCTGTCGCACCCACACTCAGCCTGCCTCTCCCCTCAGGGACGCTGAAGCTCATGGAGGAAGCAGACAAGCTGCTATGGTCAGTGCAGGTTGATCACCAGCTCTTCGCCCTGGAGAAATTAGATGTCACTGTGAGTGGAAAGCCTGGCAGAGCAGAGCATTCTTGAGTTTTCCACGTAGAGAGATAAGATTTGGAATAATCAGCCTATTCTCACATCCCAGGGAACTCTCCTCAGCCTGTATCTTTAGTCTCCCTCTCTCTCTCTCTCTGTCTCCTTTTTTTTTTTTTTTTTTTTTTTTTTGATACGGGGTTTTCCTCTGCCACCTAGGCTGGAGTGCAGTGGCATGATCTTGGCTCACTGCAACCTTTGTCTCCCAGACTCAAGCCATCCTGCCACCTCAGCCTCCCAAGAAGTTGGGACCACAGGCATGCGCCACCACACTTGGCTAATTTTCTGAAATTTTTTGTAAAGTTGAGATCTCACCATATATGGTTTCGAATTCTTGGGCTCAAGCAACCCTTTTGTCTTGGCCTCCCAAAGTGTTGGGATTACAGGCATGAGCCACCGTGCCTGGCCTTAAGTCTCTTTAGATAGGTCTAAATCCATCTAAAACGACTTTGTTTCCTCTTACTCTACCGTATTTAATGCTATACTGTGCTGCTAGAAGTCTGTCATTTCCATAACTTCAGCAGAAGTAATAGCCCCAAAGAAAAGTTCCTATAAGAGCCTGGAAGTGAGTTATTTGTCCCAACTCCAGAGGCATATTTTGTAGGTTTTTCTTGTCCATGATCTCTGTTTAATTGCACTGTGGCCCCTGAATCAGCAGGTAAGGGCTACACTTTATATTGCCATCAGGCATGCTTTTTGGTTTAGGAGGAGAGGCAGACCAGGGTTCGAACCCTGATTCTGCTGCCTCCTAGCTGAGTGGCCTTTGGTGAATGATTATATTTCTATAAGCTGAGATTTCCTCTATATAAAATTGCATACTTACTAGGATGGCTTGAGCATGACGTGAGCTCATTTGACAGCCCCTTTTGCTGCCCCGCCCATGAGTGAAATTCCCCCCCAGCTCACTGTTTGTCATCCAGAGTCCAGTCCACGGCTCTTTTATGTGCCTTGTCTCTGGCCTTTTTCAGGGCAACGGGCACGAGGAGGTAGTTGCATGTGCCTGGGATGGACAGACATACATTATTGATCACAACCGCACCGTCGTCCGCTTCCAAGTGGATGAAAACATCCGTGCCTTCTGTGCAGGTGACTCTGCCCCCACGGCCCCTTTCTAACCACACTTAAGTTAGATAAGCAGGTTAGCTATGCCAGGGAAGTGTTTGCCTCTCAGTTCCCTTTCTGACGTATCCCCTCATGTAAGTCTTTATTGACCAGTGAGTTCTTCACCTCTTTTGTTTGGGGGGTGAGGGGTGGGTACTACTGACAATTTTGAGTAAGAAAAAAATAACAGACCCTCACATCTCCACCCCTGAATATTTCAAAGAATGGAATGAGTTTGTCGTCTGTCTGGGATGTGTGAAGACATCAGGAAGTTCTTTTCCACCTGAGCATGCCAGGTCTCTGTGAAGAAAGTTCTCCTAGAGCATTTTCATTAGTTCCAAATCAGGGGCCTTGGGAGGCAGCACTCATTCTTTGGGAGGCTGGGGGACGCATTTGGAAGGAGGGATTGCACCTAGGAGAAGCCTTACTTTCTGATCGCGTTTTGCTCGTCTCGCCCTTGGATGAGCAAGGTCATCCCTCATCACTCCAGGGATGTCACTACGATGGGAAAATCACAAACAGCACCTTTCGGATGCTGTTCTGCCTGGGTTTTGTTACTATCGTTTTTCTTTTTTTTTTTTTTTTTTTTTTTTTTGACGGAGTTTCGCTCTTGTTACCCAGGCTAGAGTGCAATGGCACGATCTCGGCTCACTGCAACCTCCACCTCCTGGGTTCAGGCAATTCTCCTGCCTCAACCTCCTGAGCAGCTGGGACTACAGGCACGCGCCACCATGCCCAGCTAATTTTTTGTATTTTTAGTAGAGACGGGGTTTCACCATGTTGACCAGGATGGTCTCGATCTCTTGACCTCGTGATCCACCCGCCTCAGCCTCCCAAAGTGCTGGGATTACAGGCTTGAGCCACCGCGCCCGGCACTATCGTTTTTCTCTATCTGAAGTGGGCCAGATCTTTTCCTGTCTTACTTGTTTTACTGAGTTCCTAACAGAGAAGAAAGAGCCTTTAATTTTTTTCCTGACATCAGTGGGAGGAAGGGAATTGCTGACTCAGAGGTCTGTGTCTTGCTGTCTGCCCACCACCCCTGGCACTGAAACTTCCTGACCTTTGTCTCCCTGCCCACATCTCCCAGGCTTGTACGCCTGCAAAGAGGGCCACAACAGCCCCTGTCTCGTATACGTCACTTTCAACCAGAAGATCTATGTGTACTGGGAGGTGCAGCTGGAGCGGATGGAGTCTACTAATCTGATAAAACTGCTGGAGACCAAGCCGGAGTACCACAGCCTGCTGCAGGAGCTGGGCGTTGGTGAGTCCCAGGAAAGCCAGTGGCCAGGGTGCCCAGGAGACCCACAGCCTCTTACCCATCCCTTCTTGGCTCTCAGATCCTGACGACCTCCCTGTGGCTCGTGCCCTGCTTCACCAAACGCTCTACCATCCGGACCAGCCACCACAGTACGCTCCCTCAAGCCTCCAGGATCCCACCTAGCTGTACTTGCCTCATAGTTGGTGAAGGATTCTTCTGAACCCCCACCCTACCCCCTAAAGGTATCTGTGGTATTGGCAGGATAGGGAATATGCATTACAGAAGTGCAGGATTTCACTCTGGGTGTGAAAGATGGCAGCAGCCCTAGGATGACCACAAACTATAGACCTTGCAGTCTTTTTGGTGAAAGGAGATAAGTTGACTCTGCCCATTTACTTATGGACGTCGCCCATCACACCAGCAGGGTCATAGGACCCTGGCCTTGTTCCAAATCATCTGGGACATGTCCCACTCCCCACTCTGTGTAGAAAACAGACTTGTTTGCATGGCCCCAACACCCATAAGGAAACCAGGTTTTAGGCCCAAGGGAGCAGTGGAGGTAAGGGCTCCACCCCATCTTCAGCTCTGTTTTTCATGGCACAGTGACATTAGTCATTGTTTTTTGTTTGTTTTTGTTTTGTTTTTTGAGATGGAATCTCGCTCTGTCACCCTGGCTGGAGTGCAATGGTGCACTCTTGGCTCACCACAACCTCCGCCTCCCGGGTTTAAGCTATTCTCCTTCCTCAGCCTCCCGAGTAGCTGGGACTACACGGGTGCGGCCCCATGCCCAGCTAATTTTTGTATTTAAGTAGAAATGGGATTTCACCATGTTGGTCAGGCTGGTCTCGAACTCCTGGCCTCATGATCCGCCCACCTCAACCTCCCAAAGTGCTGGGATTACAGACGTGAGCCACCATGCCTGGCTGACATTAGTAATTATTAAAGGAATGGCAGAGTTTTGTTTTGAGGGGTCTTTCAGCACATTGTACAGTCTGGTCTTACCCATGTTCCTATCAGCCCTGAGATGATTTTCCTCCATTTACTGAAGCATCTGGGGCAGTGCTTTCTCACATTGCCATATTCTTCAGGTATTAGCTTCAGAAGCCCTGCTCCCATTTTCCCACCCACCCATTCCCCATAAAACACCTTATTGTCTGTAAGACAATGGACATTTAAAATGTGATGCAGGTTTATGGTCCAGACCACAATCAGAATTCTATTTTGGTCCATTTATGTGCTGTCTGTTCTTGATTCTCTGTGCTCTAGATCGGTGTTTTTCAAACTGTGGATGCAGTCCTTTGGTGAATTATGGCCAGCATTTTTAAAATAGGTAGAATAGAATAAAGTAAAATAGAAAATAGCAGAATGCGTTGCTCACAGTGTAGGTAAGTACCGTTTTGTTGCAGTCGAATGTGCATGTGTGTACTGAGTACCGTGTAAACTGTATTCCTGCTGTGGTAAGCTGCGGTCAGAGGAGCTTGAAAACCATTGCTCTCAATTATATTGACCCTAGTCAGATGGGTCAGCCTCAGTGAGGGCCCGCATTTATATTTCCCTTCTGTAAGGGACAACGGGCAGAGTTACCATTCAGCTCTTGATAGGCAGAAAGGAAGGCCACAGATCATCGACATAGAGAAACAAGAGTTTATTCCGGTAGAGAAGCAGCTGAGCCGAGGGCTTGCCACTGGGCCTGGGGTCTGCAGTTACAGAAGCAGCAGGAGCCAGACAAGGAAAGGCACAGGACAAGACCCAGGAAAGCGGACCTTGTGGAGCAAGGCAGTAAGGGAGAGGGAAGCTTTTAGGATTTTGAGACCAGGTACTGTGGTAGGCATGGTAAGTGAGCCCCTCTCCTTTCCTTCTGAAGACAGGGCAGGCAGCTGAGAAAGGTCAGGCCAGATGTCAGGGGCAGCTCCTTGCATGCCCGTTCTTCTGTAACTCAGTCTACCCCAGGCTCAAGACTGTTTCAGCCCAAGGGTCCCAGTTCCATTGTTCAGGTTAGCTATACCACTGTCTTTCTCTGCGCCTTCTTTTTGTTTGTTTTTGGAGACAGGGTCTCTTTCACCCAGGCTGGAGTACAGTGGCATGAACTTGGCTCACTACAACCCCCATCTCCCAGGTTCAAGCAATTCTTGTGCCTCAGCCTTCCAAGCAGCTGGGATTATAGATGCACACCACCACGCCTGGCTAATTTTTGTGTTTTTTTAGTAGAGATGGGGTTTTGCCATATGACCGAGGCTGGTCTCAAACTCCTGACCTCAAATGATCTGCCCACTTCAGCCTCCCAAAGTGCTGGGATTATAGGTGTGAGCTACTGCGCCCAGCCTCTTTACTCATAACCCATGATTTGAGAGACTCAAACCAGCCAGAAAGACTCTCAAAGGTCTGGCTTCTTAAGGTTTGGATTCTTCGCTTCACAATGAATTCAGAAAGCCTCTGTCTCCTGACAGACTCCAAACTTAAAAAAAAAAGACCTCTGTCTTTTTGCTTTGGGAAAGCCTGGCAGGGGTTTAGAAAGCCACTGATTCCAGGAAAAGGCAAGCTTAAACTCAAGAGACCAGAGATGGGGATAGGGAGAAGGCCTATTGAGGTGGATAGTTCTAGAAATCAGAAGGAATACTGAAGAGGTTAAGTCTGAGTGCTGACAACCTCACTATCCTGTCCACCCCGTAGGAGCAGTTCTCTACGAGGCCTTTCCACACACGCACCCAAAGTTCAGGGGCTTGACGGGTGCGAAAAGCAGATAGAGGATAAATACTCAGCGTTAATAGCATAAGTATGTCTAAGGTTTTGCACAGGGTCGTCAGACAATAACTAGCTTCAGACATTTGTAGCCCGGGAAAAGTAACTCATAAAAGCTGTCAGCCTTATGAGATGGACCTTCCTGTACTAACTCCCTCCCCTTGTGTTGAATTCTGTGTAATGTTTCTTCCCCCACTCAACTGTGAGCAGATGTGTACAGAATCCAAGAGGCAGACTGTAGGAGGTCCGGGGACCCAGGTTGGTGAGGCATGGCAGTCTAGTTGTGGGAGATAATTTGTGGTGAGAGACTTGGTGGTGTGGGAAAATGAGCTGTGTTTGGGGTGAGATTGGGAAGTGGGCGAGGACAGCAGTCGGCAGAGCCTTCGACCCAGGCCAAGCAGGCACCCTGTTTTCCTTAGGTTCCTATCTGTGGTCCTGATTTGGCTTCGCTTTTCTTGGGAGGGAAATGAATCAGAATCCTGGCATCGGGGCCCCTCTAGTGAAGACTCTTCCTGGGGAGTAGGACGGACAGCTGCCAAGAAGCAGAGAGAAATGTGGCCGGCTGGGGGAAATGGGACAACAGGGGTCAGGGTGGTGATTCAAAGGGCAGACACCATAGTCCCCAGCTACCTGGCTCCAAGAGCCCCTTTTCCCCACACACCTCTTCCCCTGAGTCAAGGTCTTTCCCTCTGGGAACTGACTGAGACAGCAGTCACTGGCCAGGTTCTTGGTACAAAGGTAGGAAGGGCAGCTCTGAGAACGGGGCTTTCAGCCGCAGCACTCTGTGCTCCAGGTCAATGCAGCACTGTGGGGTATAGAGCAGTCATGCCAGGTCACCTCAGCCTGTCACCTGCCTCCCAGCCTTCTCCTTTCGTTCCCCCTCCCACTTCCCACAGCTTCCACCTGCCTTTTGCTCTTCTCCCATCCCCATTTCCCTAGACTCCTGTTGGAGGGGGATGACCCAGTTCTCTTGATTTTTCACTTGGTGGTAAGTAAGGAATCTCTAAGGAAACAAAGCGAGAATTGCCCATCTCTAAGTCACTGTCATCAGAACCTGGTCCAGGCGTCCACACTTGTGCCTTCTACTACTTTTCCCCAGTGCTTTGGATCAGGCCTTGAGTGTGGGTGCCTTACCTTGAGAGAAAGCAGAGTCTGCAGGCCCAGGCAGAATTCAGGACTCTCAACATCTGCAGGAACCATTTGAAAACAGAAGAGGCTGAAGGTGCCCTGTGGTCACTGGTGCCCTCTTCTCAGCCCTTGCTCCTTCTCTGCCCACCCCATCCCCAGGTTCAAGGACTTTGGCACAGAGATAAGGGATAGTCAGAACATCTCTGGGGACTCCTTTTGCCAGAGGGGCTGAAAGTCTCTACCTTTGGCCCACCCTGAAGAGAAAGGTGAGAGGTGAGCATCAGGGCTGTTGCAGAAGGGGAGACTTACCCACCACCTGTGCTGAGCACACCACAGTCTCCTGCCCCACCTGTAGCTCCAGCTGCTCCACCTGGGTTGGGGGCTCAGAGGCCAGGTCCTCAGCTGAGGCTTTTAGGACCGTTTTCTCTAACCTGTGGTTGGGAAGCAAGGGTTATGGCTACCACAGCCCCCATTAATCAGCAGATGTCCCTCTCTGCCATGGGTTCACCTCCAACCCCTGACCCCCCGTGGGATCTAAGTCCTTGTCTTCTCTGCCAGAATATTCTAGCCACTCTTTTGGTAAATAACAGCTTATTGAGATAAAATATGCATCTATCGTCACTATCTAATTTGAGAATATTTTCATCACCCCAAAAAGAAACCCTGTCCCCCATTTGCTTGGTTGGGCCACACTCTTACCCCAGGCGGCTGAGACAACCAGCAGAGATCTGATTGTGTTGGGTGCCTGTGTCCACGGCCACTCTAAGCAGCTGGTCCTGGCACTAAGAAAGAGGGATTGCAGTGGATCAGTGAGTGAGTCCCTAGGAGACTGGGTTGGGATTGGATCCTTCATTTTCCCAGCCCATTGATGATTCCCTTTTAGAAATAAGTGGATAAAATTAACTGTCTTTAAAACTGGTTTTTATGAGACTCATACAATAGGGGCAAAACTCCCAGATAAAGAAATCAAAAAAGGAAGTGGGCCAGGTGCGGTGGCTCATGCCTGTAGTTCCAACACTTTGGAAGGCTGAGGCAAGAGGATCACTTAAAGCCAGAAATTCAAGACCAGCCTAGGCAACATAGCAAGACCCTGTCTCTACAAAAAATAAAATGGGAAAAGAAAAAAGTAGAGTTATATGTGATGAGTTCATAAGTTTGGGGAAGATCTGCCAGAAATGGAGAAATGGTGATTTATTTGTTTAGAGGAATCCTTGGGAGTTTCATGGCCTCCTGGTTTGAAAACTCCAGGTTAGGAATAGAGGAAGGATGAGAAGACTGGAACCCCCTGTTAGGAAACTCAGATGCAGTAACCAGGAAGTTCACCACTGGAAACAAAGGAGGACAAGTCCACTTATTTTAGGAGATAGACAGACATTTTGATATACACTTGGATGTATATATGTCACTTTCTCATTCCAAACATTCATTGAGTATCTACTATAAGATATATTACTGGGCCGGGCGCGGTGGCTCAAGCCTGTAATCCCAGCACTTTGGGAGGCCGAGGCGGGTGGATCACGAGGTCAAGAGATCAAGACCATCCTGGTCAACATGGTGAAACCCCGTCTCTACTAAAAATACAAAAAATCAGCTGGGACTACAGGCACGTGCCACCATGCCCAGCTAATTTTTTGTATTTT